ATTGTCAATCCTATCATTTCCACGCTAGAAGTAACTCAATCCACCATGAAATCCTTAGATTTTCAAGAAATTTCTACAAGGGCTCAAGGGAGGGCTTTGCAAGATTTCTTCCAAAAGGTAATCCTACACCCTTAGACTTACATGTATGGATTTAATATGGGAATATGAGTAAGAATTAAGTTCTGGAACTTATGGGATGGTGATTGGAAGCCATAAGTTCCTAATTTAAAAACTTAGCCATTGTAGAGATTGAAAGGTGATTATTTGATAGAATTTTTGTTGGTTGGGTGTAGATGGATGGTCATGCATGTGATGTTGGAAGTTATAAATTGTTTAAGAATGACGATGTGATAAATTATTGGCAAATGGTGGTAATTGGATGAACTAATTCTATGGTTAAGAAATGTAGAGATTTATGCCTACTAGGTATTTGATAAAATGCCTAAATGGCCTAAATTAAGGAATTTGTTACTAATATTGGTCCCATTGGATGTTGTTATTGTATATTGAAGTTTTTTAGTGTAGCGGATAAATTTAGTATCATTAAGGGGCGAATTTGAGGTATGTTGGCTAAACTTCCCTCTTAGAATTGAATCTCGCGATGTTCTCGTAAGTCTCAAGTATGATGGGCCAATTTCTTATTTCTCATGTCCCCAGTTATTCATTATAATTTTGACTATTCCGAATAAACTTTGTGTCGGAAGATGTATGTTCAAAATGTGTTCCGAATGCTCTTGTCATATTATGTTATCATTTGACAATGTGTTAAAAGTATGGGTTGTGTATTTAAACGTTATGACTTCAAGTCGTGTTCCAAATGAAAGTTATTAAGCCAAAATTTTGAAAGAAAACTTAATGTGCTTAAAACTCTTAATTGCTCATATGTGTACTTAAAGTCTTGATTTAAAATGCCTTGTCGTTGATAATCCACGATGGTGCTTGAAAGTGAAAGAGGTGAACATGAAATACGAAATACGGCCAACGTGCCAAGAATGATATTACATTTGTGGACACTTTCCAAGATGAGAATTATGAGGTATTGTATGACCCATGGGACAATGGAAAGAAAAACCTTTCATGAAATGATTTATATGAAATATTTTTGGGATACAAATGGATATATGCTATCCATGTAATCTGTTCACATATGTAGTTCCGCATACCATGATATTCCCATTATGGTAACGTTATAGACGTTCAAGTTTACAAATAGGCATGACGTTGAAATTAAGGCTTTCCAATGTTTTGCAATCAGAGTATATATATGCTTATAAAATAATAAATGCAAATGCATTTGATGTTAAGTCCCCAAGAGTCAAGAACTTAGCCAATGGCCTTAAGATGACAAACAAGTACATAACGAGGTGAAAGAGAGATGTCCAATGCTAAATGATGATGAGCCTTAAAGAAAAGGAATTGGGTCCAATTTCCCATTGTAATCTACTCATTGATTCTCCATATATTTGCTAATGTAATAAGTTGTGTTTTCGCATGATTCGCATGAACATGGAATATCCCAATGATCCGGGAAATTATGACCCTAAATGTAATGTTACTTATGTTGCTTTAAGCTTACATATGGTCATGTGCATAATAATGTGTTACGAGCCCTATGGACAATCTATGAAACGTATATGTGTATGGTATGAATGAACCCTATGGAAGGTCTATGAAATGCATAGGTGTATAGTAAAGATTAACCCTATGGACGGTCTATGAAACTCATAGGTGTATGGTATGAATGAACCCTATGGACGATCTATGAAATGCATAGGTGTATAGTACAGATGAACCCTATGGACAGTCTATGAAACACATAGGAGTATGGTATGAATGAACCCTACAAACGGTCTATGAAACGCATAGGTGTATGGTATGAATGAACCCTACAAACGGTCTATGAAACGCATAGGTGTATGGTATGAATGAACCCAATGGACGGTCTATGAAACACATAGGTGTATGGTATAAATGAACCCTATGAACGGTCTATGAAATGCATAGGTGTATAGTATAGGTGAACCCTATGGACGGTGTATGAAATACATATGTGTATGGTATGAATGAACCCTATGGACGGTCTGGTGAGGAGCATAGCCAGCACGAACAATAGGTGCCATTTTCAGTGTCCTTGTTTGGTACATAGTGTACATTTATATTATATTGGTTGTATCCCATATCATGGCTCATGTGGCTCGCTTACGATCATATAATTTGTTTCATAGTTTCTTGATGTGTCTTATTTACCTCTCATGATCTACCTTACCTTTATACATTATTTTGTTTGCTCTACATACTAGTACTATTCGACATGTACTACCATCCCTTTTACCGAGGACGATGCATCTTTAATAGATGCAGGTGGTTCCATAGCAGGCGGCATCGATCAGTATTAGCAGTACACTCTCTCTTCAGCTGTCTTGGTGAGCCCCACTTCATTTTGAGGTCGCGTATCTTTTGTTTCTCAAGTATTGTGTTTTGAGGTATAGCCCATGCCTTGTAGCCGGCACAATCATAGTACTCTTTTGTATCCGCTAGAGGCTCCGTAAACATAGTGTGGGTTGTACCTTGGTTATGGGAAAGTCAAACTAATGATGTAGTAATTGTATCACATGCTTCCACTTTTGAACTATGAATGTGTAATGTAATATTTTGGAGACTTATAAATAACGTAACTAATGGTAATGAATTGGTGTAGTTCACATGATCTTCTCATTGTCCAATCAACGAAATTTATCTTCTCTTTATTCATGGGTATGTTCGGGCAAAAGGCAGGGTATCTCGGTTGAGTGCCGGTCGCGCTCCCCGAGGTCAGAGCGTGACATTGAGTATCTGGTAATATGTCAATAGCAAACTCAATCTCCCCCTCTGGCGGAAGGCCTGGGAGCTCATTGGGAAAAAAATCGGTAAACTCATTAACCACCGGGATAGACTGAAGGGTCGGTGACTTTGTTTTCACATCCTTTACCCGAACTAAGTGATAGATATAAACTTTTCTAATCATCTTCCTTGCCTTGATATAGGAAATAAACCTACCTCTCGGTGAAACAGTATTACCTTTCCACTCCGGCACCGGCTCCCCTGGAAACTGGAACTGAACCATCTTTGATCTACAATCAACGTTAGCATAACAAGAAGCCAACCAATCCATACCCATTATAACATCAAATTCTACCATATCTATCTCGATCAAGCCTGCTGCTGTAGAATGACCATGAACTACTACTATGCAATCTCTATATACCCGTCTAGCTCTCACTCGACCCCCATCATATGTAGAAATCTCAAAAGGTTCAATCAACTCAGGTTCTATCCAACCTTACTAGCAACAAACAGAGTGACGTATGATAAAGTGGAACCTGGATCAATCAATGCATATACATCATATTAGGATATTGATAATATACCTATAACAACATCAGGTGAAAACTCTTGATCCTGTCGACCTGCTAATGCATAAATGCGGTTCTGAGGACCGCTCGAGCTAGATGCTCCACTTCTGCCTCTACCACGACTGACTGGTGCATGTGAACCTTTGCCAGGGAGGCGTACCTGATAATGACGAACAAACTACAAATCTCGCTGGCCGAACGATACTTGTACCACCTCTCGTCGGACAATCTCTCATAACATGTCTTGGATAACCACAAGTACAAATAATACCCACAACGCACTCCCCAGAATGTTGCTTACCACACAGAGCACATTGTGGCAAGGTCGGCCTCATCTGACTTGACTCAAGCCTATACTAAGAACTAAAGGCCCTGGAACTCTGACTGGGCCTTGAATATGTAGAGCGACGAAACCTCCTACCGGTAAAGTGAGGAAATGGAATCAGGCCAGAACATAGTTCAATTACAAAAGAGGACTGAATCCAATGAGGATTGCCAAAGTATTCCTTTTTGAGGAAATCAAGTCGGCGTAGTTCCTGAGCAACATACAAAAGTGATATTTGTTTTTTCTATTTCAAGAGAAAGGGGGAGAGAAATCTAACCCTACGTGGGTTGCCTATGTATCCCTCCATGTGAAGTCAAGTTTAACGTAGTTCTGTTACATCAAAAACTCTAACTCTATTTGTCTTCAGACATAGTACCTCTTGATTGCGTCTGAGTTGATAGGCTTTGTGTTGAATCTTCCATCCATTTCTGCCAAGAGTAGAGCTCCACCCGACAGTGCTCGGTGAACCACGTAAGGACCTTGCTAGTTTGGTGCGAACCTTCCTTTGGCTTCTTCTTGATGGGGAAAGCTTTTCTTCAGAACTAACTTCGTAGTGTGAATTAGCAAGGCTTTACTCTTTCGTTAAATTCACTAGCCATCCTGTTCTGATATAATTGACCATGACATACTACATCCATTCTTTTCTATTCAATGGGCATGAGTTGATCCTGCCTAACCTGTATCCACTCTGCGTCATCCAATTTTGCCTCTTGAATGACTCTTAAGGATGGTATCTCGACCTATGCGGGTATCACCGCTTCAGTGCCGTATACCAACATGTAGGGCGTTTCCCAGTGGATGTTCTCATGGTAGTCTAATAACCCAATAAAGTGGAAGGTAGCTTCTTGTGCCATTGTCTGTGATTGTCCACTATTTCTCGCAAAATCCTCTTTATATTCTTGTTGGCGGCCTCGACTGCCCCATTCATTTGATGTCTATAGGCTATGGAATTGCGGTTGAAAATTCTAAACTTCTCGCAGATTTCTCTTATGAGGTCGCTATTGACGTTAGCGACATTGTCAGTGATGATAGACTACGGTATCCCAAATCTGTAGCCAATGGCCTTGTAAGTTGATTCCTCGACCCATTTTGGGAAATAGTTAATAGATACAAAAATGAAACGATGTCTGTTTGATGCTGCGGGCTCTACAGGTCCAATTACGTCCATTCCCCAAGCGGCGAACGGCCAAGGTGAACCCATTACGTTTAACTCATTTGGTGGGACACGGATGAAATCCCCGTGAATCTGGCACTAGTGACACTTCTGCACGTAGCGAATTCTATCATTTTCCATAGTCATCCAAAAGTATCCAGCTCTCCAAACCTTCGTGGCTAATATGAACACGTTCATCTGGGGCCCGCATATCCCCTGCATGTATTTCCTCCAATAGTCTGGTTGCTTCAACAACGTCTACACATCACAACAAACATAAGTCCGGGGTCCTCCTGTACAGGACTTCCCCGTTGAGGAAAAAGTGGTTTGCCAGCCTCTCGAGTGCTCGCTTTTGACCATTAGTAGCATTCTCCGAGTATACCTTGGTCGCAAGGAATTTCTTGATGTAGTGGTACCACGGATTACCATTGGGTTCTTCTTCTATATGGAAGCAATAGGCATGTTGATCCCTGATCTCTACCTCGATAGGTTCGATGTAATTTTTGTCTGGATGCTGAATCATAGACGATAGGATTGCAAGGGAGTCGACGAACTCATTCTGAATACTGAGGACATGCTTGAACTCAATCTTTGTGAACTTCTTGCACAGTTCCTTCATGTAGTGCAGGTACGACAGTATCTTGACATTCTTGGTGGACCATTCTCCTTGGACTTGGTGTATAAGCAATTCATAATCTCCTACGACCAAAAGTTCTTTAATATTTATGTCGACTGCCATTCTGATTCCAAGGATACACGCTCCGTATTCGGTCATATTATTGGTACAAGGGAATATTATCTTTGCTGATGCTGGATAGTGTTGTCCAGATTCTGAAATCTGTACTTCCCCAATTCTGACTCCTTTGAAATTTGCTGCTCCATCGAAAAACTTTCTTTACCCAGGGTATGATTCTGCAATATCTTCCCTAGAAATTAGTACTTCTTCATCAGGGAAATACATGGTAAGCGGTTCGTAATCTCCATCCACTGGATTCTCGGCTTGGTGGTCGGTTTATGCTTGTGCTTTGATAGACTTCTGAGATATGTACACAATGTCAAATTTGTTGATGAGACTTTTCCACTTAACTAGCTTTCGAGTAGGCATTGGCTTCTGAAAAATGTACTTTAGCGGGTCGAGCCAAGATATCAGATGCGTGGTGTACGCTGACATGTATTGCCTTAGCTTTTGAGCAATCCAAGTCAAAGCATAACAAGTGCGTTCTATCAGGGTATACTTGGCCTTGCATAGAGTGAACTTCTTGCTTAAGTAGTATATGGCCTCGTCTTTTCTCCCAATTTTGTCATGCTGCCCCAACACACAGCCGAAGGCGTTGTCCAAGACGGACAAATAGAGTAACAATGGTTTCCCTGGCTCGGGGCGAACCAGCACTGGCGGGTTTGAAAGATACTCTTTGATTCTATCAAAAGCTTTCTGGCACTCCTCCGTCCATTTTGTGGCGGCATATTTCTTCAACGGCTTGAAAATAGGTTCAAAGATTATCGTGGACTGGGGTATGAAACGACTGATGTAGTTCAATCATCCCAAGAAACTCATGACATCCTTCTTGCTCGTTGGTGGCGGTAATTATTGGATGGCCTTGATTTTTGATGGGTCCCGTTCTATCCCTTTCATGCTTACAATGAAGCCCAATACTTTTCCAGCGGGGACTCCGAACGCGCACTTTGTTGTGTTCAATCTCAAACTATACCTTCGTAGGCATTCAAAAAATTTCCTCAAGTCATCCAAATGCTCCGAGCTCCTTCGAGACTTTATGATGATGTCATCTACATACAGTTTAATCTCGTTATGAATCATGTCGTGAAAAAGGGTCGTCATGGCCCTCATATAGGTAACACCGGCGTTCATGAGACTGAACGGCATAACTCTATAATAGTAGACACCCCAAGGTATGGTGAAAGCTGTCTTCTCTGTATCTCCCTCGTGGATTAAGATTTGATGGTATCCAGCGAAACAATCCATAAATGATTGCAGTTCATGCTTCGCACAATTGTCGAGGAGGATGTGGATGTTTGGTAGAGGGAAACCATCCTTTGGACTAGCTTTGTTGATATCTCATTAGTACACACATATTCTTATCTTTTCGTCCTTCTTGGGCACCGAGACTATGTTTGCCAACCAGCTTAGATAGTTGGTGACCCTTACTACATTTTCTTCTATCCGTTTGGTCACTTCTTCCTTTATCCTCAGACTTAAATCAGGTTTGAACATTCTGGGCTTCCGCTTGACTAGCAGTCTGGTAGGGTCAGTGGGCAGTTAATGTGAGACAATGTCGGTGCTTAATCCTGGCATGTCATCGTAGGACCATGCGAACACATCGACGTACTATCGGAGGAGTTCAATCATTTTTTCCTTCTACTCGGCTTCTAGGTGAATGTTGATTCTAGTTTCTTTTATATCTTCTTCACTTCCTAGATTGACCACTTCTGTTTCTTCCAGGTTGGGCTTTTTCTGACTTTCCAATTGCTCGATTTCCTATGGGAGATTGTTGAGCATCATGCTCTCGTCATAGTCCTCGTAATTCAGGTCGTTGCGCTTAGCAGTTTCGTTACATGTCATAATCGTGGAATGCCTTTTTTTATCGGTTTGATTACTGAAAAGAAAAACTAAGTATAAATAAAGCATTAAAACAAAGTCACAATATTTAGGAAAATGATTCTTTTTATTTCATGAAAAGTGGAACGTCTTAAGTGTTCACAAGAGGCAAATGACAAAAAGGTACAGACAGAGTACAAGCCTCAATTGACCGTGGTCTTTTCAAAAGAAAACTTTTACTGTTCCATACTACTAAGACTCCCGGCGAACCAAAGATGGACTGGCGGTCCAATTCTGCAGCTCTTCCCCTGGTTTGACATCCTTGATAGTCGGTGTCTTGATATTAGTTCATTCACATCATTATTCAATCATATTCACAAACAACTTTTACATTCCGTCGATGATATCATCTTCGGGTAGTGAACTCTATCCCGGACTTGCAACATGCTCTAGCACAAAAACCTTTTTCCCGGAGCTAACGGGGCGAGATTTCCCTTCCGAAGGCTGATATCCTATGCCAGCCCTTCCTTTCTGCCCATTATGTTCAATTGGCTCTGTGATTCTATTTGACTTGGCTCCCAACCATCTTCATCGCCTGTATCCATATTTCATCATCTCCCTCATAGCTATTTTGGATCTATACGACGACTGTATTCCCAAGATTTGTTCAGCCTTCTCAATCTCAAAAGTCTGCATGATTTCCACAGGATGGAAGGCAACTTCGTCCAGCCCTTTCAGTGAATGGAACAACATACTCCAAATAGGCGGAGTGACCCCACTCGCCATGAACCACGATCTCCTAGCGTCCGCACTAAAATTTTATTCATTGGTGCAAAGTGGATGGCACAACCCCTGTCATATGTATCCAAGGCCTGCCTAACAGCAAGTTGTAAGAAGAGGATATGTCCATCACTTGAAACAACACCGAAAAATCGACCGACCCGAATTGCAAAACTAGATAAATTTCTTCGATAACATCTTTTGCGAACCATCAAAGGTTGTCACCCTTATGTGGAATTCTTTGACTTTCCTCAAATGAATTCCTAGCTCTCGCAGGGTGGAGAGCGGACAAATGTTGACTCCTGATCCACCATCGACCAACACTCAGGACACTATTTTGTCCCCACACTTGACTGTGATGTGAAGAGCCTTCTTATGACTTATGCCTTTGAAGGGGAGTTCGTCTCTTATGAAAGTGATCATGTTTGCTTCGACCATTTTCCCAATTATCGCGGCCAACGCCTCACTAGTGGTGTTACATGGTACACTTAACCCACTTAGTACTTTCAACAAGGCGTCCTTATGACTGTCGGAACTCACTAATAGATCCATGATAGATATTTGTGCTGGAGTTTTCTTCAGTTGCTCAACCACAGCATACTCTTTGCTTGACATTCTTTTCCAAAACTCAGCAGCTTCTGGGTCTGTTATGTTCCTCCGTTGAATTTGTTCTCTCCTCGTATTTCCTCGATTGACATTTTCAGGGGCGTAGCATCTCCAAGACCTAGTCATACCTTGGGCTGCACCCAAGTTTGTCATTTTGGCCTTTCCTTTTTGCTGGTATGTCCATGGGACGGGTTTTTACTCCCGACCTTCTTTGTCTCGAGTAGCATCGGCATGTTGCTGCGGAAAAGTTTGAACCGTCACTGTAGGCCTCAATTATACTGTAATGATCAGAGCCTTATGAGGAGGGATCCTTGTGGCTTCAGGTCAAACTCTTCGTCTAATGTGATCATGTTAGCTCCATGATTTCGATGATTTAGAAGTGGGTTGTGATTCACATAGTATGGTGCCAGAGTGAATTGAATGGCTCCGCTCTTGATCAGTGTTTCAATTTCATTTTTCAACTTGAAACAATCTTTAGTATCATGTCCAGGTACATTGGAATAGTACACGCATCTTTTAGTGGCAACAAAATACTTGGAGGGATGTTCAGGAACCCTTCCCTCGATTGGGTGTATCAATCCTGCTCGTCTTAATCTTTCAAATAATTGGGCCAGAGGCTTAGCAATCGGGGTATAAGTTCTAGGACCCCTCTCTTCCAAGTTGGGACGAGGGCGTGGTGCATAAGCAGGTCAGTTTTGATGAGTAGTGTTTTGGACAGGAGCATATGGTCGTTGTGGTTTTTGGTTGTTGTTGGATAGGGGAGGGTTGTATTGTGGTTGAGGGTGGTAATATGGCTGGGCATTATAAACTGGAGCGTAAGTGGGTGGTGGTGAGTGGTTGTTTGGGGAATAAGAGGTGCTCCCGTGATGTGGGTTGGGTTTCTAGTAAGGGACGGCTACTGAGACCTCCTCTTTCTTCTTCTTTCCGCTTCTAATTGACCCTTATTGTATGGCCTTGCTAGCCACTTGCAGTGCTGCCATGGATTGTACTTTACCAGATTTTATGCCCTTTGCCAAGAAAACTCCGATCTTGACCATGCCAGGGAACTTATGTCCCATCATTCCCATCATCTTTTTAAAGTATATTCCCATCATATGTTCAAAGTATATTCCCTCCTGGCATCTAGCGGAGGTTGCGCCCTGTAAGCCTCCGATCTCCACCGTCGTGCATATTCATGAAATGACTCAGATGGTTTTTTCTGCAGTTTCAATAGTGTGAACCGATCAAGAGTGATCTCGGTGTTGAATCAAAAATGATTCATGAAGTCCTCCGCCATATCTTGCCAAGTTCTCCAATCTAGCGGATCCTGTCGAGTATACCCTGTGAGTTCTTTTCCCGTCAAACTTCTTATAAATAACTTTATCCTTAGCTTCTCGTTCTTCCCCACGCCAACTAACATCTCACAATATGCCCTCAGATGTGCGTGAGGATCCCCTATCCCATCGAAGCTATCGAACTTTAGGGGTTTGTACCCTGCCGGCATATCCATATCTGGATGAATACACAGGTGCTCATTTTCCAAACTTTCACTTTCCTAGGCAACTTCGAGACTCTTCATTTGCCTTCTCAACATTTGCAACTGCTCAGATACTGCCTCTTCTTCCCTATGCCTGGCTTCTCTCTCCATCTCCACGTATTGGTCAATCTCATAAGGCACCCTGATCATGTCAGGTGCTATAAAGGTAGGTTTAGAAATGTCATATATAGGGGGAACGTACCGCATGGGTGGCGTCATGTGCCACAGGTATGTGATGGTTAGTGGTGAAAGTGACTCAGTCACGAGGAGGGGTAATTACGTT